GGGCTTCCCGGCAAGGCCCGCGCAGCACTTACTCCCCTCTCACAATCCGAGAGGAAAGCGAAGGAGTGGGGGTAGAGCCTTAAGGCGCGTCCCCACACACTGTACACATGTAAGCTACTCCGGCTACTCTAAACAACTCTAGAGTGTAGAGTCTACACTGTGGACCAAAGAAAGTAAAAAACAACCTTCTGTAACAGCAACGAATGAATCGTACAAGAGGAAAATAGCATTGTTGTACTAAAAATGCGTCTCACAACTACACTCTTTTATTTTATTTCACCTCGTAAAATACCGTATCGATATCGAGGGTACGTACGAATATGACTCTCTAATACTTTTAACATTTATTTAAAGGTTAACTTCGATACTATGCCATATAGGAAGAACCGTCTCGAAAGACCACCAACTCTGAAGAATTTAATACGACTTAGGAATGATCTCGAAATACAGGAACAAAATATGCTATTACTAAGACACCCTTATCTCACATCTGAACAATCCAATCAGCACATGAAAGAATTCAAACAAGAAAAATTTATCAAAGTATGGCAAGGCTGGCAAGAAGAAAGAAATATAAGATTTAATAAACGGATTACTATCGCAGATCGATTGAATCATTTAATAGTACAGGAAGTATGGGATTAATGTATATCTTAATAGTTGTATTTTAGCTTATCATGTCGACAAAAGAATAATACCACTGCAGAAACTCTTCTACCTTTCTACGTATCACCTATAACATCCTTCTAAGTAAAACTCCCTATTTTATTTTCAAACTCAAACTTTATTTCTATGTCAACAGAAGTGCATTTCAGCATCATGTTAAAATATACGACAAGAATTAACAGTTATTTTTTTTAAACATAAATATTAACCTGTGGTAGCTTGTATTTATAGATCTACGATAGATACATTTTGAAATCGTTCGACCAAGTCTTTAGGTTTCGTTCTCATCCAACCAAACGGATTTTTATCAACCATTTCGTCCGTTAATGAATTTCCTTCGTATAGGAAATTTGCAAAATCCGACACGACAGGATCAGCTCCAACGCTACTCATCGCAATAATTTTACCATCTTTGATATAATATGCAAAGAATTCCAAATTCTCCAAAGAACCATAAATTCTTATTTTATCTGGTTTTCCATACCCTGAATACATGTGAATTATAATACAAGTTGTTTAGCGTATATACTAATTACAAGTCAGAAAAATGATAAATATACCTGTGTATCGATAACTTTTTCCAAATAATGTTGTCCAGAAATATGGAACGCTATTTAATTCTGTGCTTTTTGCGCATATATTTAATGCTGCTATTTTTCCATGATAATGCGCTAAGGAATAATGACCTATCGCCGCTGAAGTGCTATCGGAATCGAATAATGGTGCGTACGCTATGTCACCACCGGCGTACACATTTTCTACATTTGTTTTCAAGTGCTAAAATTATGCACGAAACATTATCATTTTCTAAAATCAATATTTCAAACGTTTATCGTCCTTTCTCAAAATGGCATACCTTATTCACTATCACGCTGCCGTCTTGTAACATTTCGATTGAAGAATCTTTTATCCAATCTGTATAAAATGTAGAACCAATTCCAATAATAGCTATATCAGCAGGAAGTACCGTACCATCGGTAAGTATAACTGTACCGACGGTATCTTCCTTGTCTTCCTTCGCAACGAATTGCGTAATATTATTTTTAAATATAAATTTGATACCTTGAATAAAATATTTTTTTTATTTTCTTTATTTAATGAGACAAAAATCGTATCGCGAAATGAAATAGTACCTTTCGCTTCGAATTCTTCTCTAACTCTATTACCAATTGCTGTTCCAAAAACCGATTGTAGAGGTATCGTTCCTCTTCCTACGATGGTAACGGATGCACACTTACTAACACAATAAGCAGCTGCTTCCATACCAATGAAGCCTAAGCCAAGTATTACGATATGTTTTTTATCTGACAATTTGGAATGTATAGCATGAGAATCGGTATAATTTCTCAGCACATGGATATTAGACAGATTAATGCCAGGTATGTCAGGCATTCTAGGCTTGCTTCCCGTACAGATGAATAAATAATTGTAAGTTAAGATTTCATTATTACTCAATGTGACAACATTCTCGCTCGTATTTAGACCTATAATGAATCGTAAGTAAAGTATAATTCGACTACAGGAAAACAAGTTACAGAGAACATTATTACCTGTAGCTTCTAAACCGAGCTTCACTTGAATACTGTGATCGTCGTAAAATGATTGCGGTCTCAAGGCTGCTTGCTCTATATCAAAGTCTAAAACCTTAGACACTTTTACCCTATCGTATGGAACTGTGTTTTCCTTACAAACCATAACAATATTTCCAGTAAAACCTTCTTGTCGCAAACTTTCAGCACATGTTGCGGCAGCTGGTCCCCCTCCAACTATTACAACAGTAGTTTTATTGTTGGTATCCAATTTAGACATTTTTTTTACACGTCTGTTCAGATCTAAATCTTTACGGTTTGCTTTCACCCGTACAAGCCCTGTATCATCCACCTTTACCTATAAAGTCAAATTACATGTGCTGTAATAATACAATATTTATATAATGTTCCATATCGATGCAATTATTTATTATAATACTTTATAACATGGCAAAGAATCTAAGCCTGGATAATCTTCTATGTCTCCTGTTTTAATGTTAAAGCATGCACCATGCCATGGACATCTTATTCTTCCATCTCCCAATGCTCCTGTATGAAGCAAAGCTCCGTAATGTGTACATTTTGTACCGATAGCGTGTAACTCTCCTTTTTGTTTGATTAACAAAATTTTTGTTCCAGCATCTCCAAGCGGTAATAGTTTCATTTCATTTTCTTTGATATCAGTTTCTTTGCACACCACATCTTCGATGTAATCATGTTTTTCTGGTTTACCTAAATTAATATGTCATCCAGATTACAGATAGAGCGAAATACATACCTATTCTTTATATTTGAATATTTTTAAATTGTATAAAAATCACGATTCGTTTGCATACGAACATAGAGACGGTAAGTACTTGGATTTAAAAATGTGAAATATTGTATATCAAGGTAAACAATAATCGTCGATCTACGAATGGACGATTGGACAATCATTAACTTACAACTACAGCAACATTTTGAACTATTACGCGACGACCTAATTTCTTCTTTTGGTTTATTACACTCACTGCAAATATGAATCTTCTTTTCAGACTTTAATTCTGTCATTTTCGCTTTGTGTATCTTTAAACGAGCATAAGAAAGTGTATTACACGCTAAACGCGTGAAACGTTTCACAGTATACAAACACATAAGTGCTGTCAAAGTATTTTCCTATTATAATAAAACATTATTCATAATACTAAATTACTCGTAATGTAAAGAATTCGTGAGATTAACATTAGATTTGCATGAAGAATAATTTATTGCTTGAAAAATATCAGTAGTAAAACTATTGTTCGGTATTGGATATTTAAATGTATGCACGAAGAATGTACGTCTAGTCCTGCGCGCGTAACTTTATTCTAATCGAAGATTTGCATTTCACTACAGAATTTCACATATTTGTTTAATCAGCTCGGTAAACAGAGATCATCTGTAAGGGAAGAGAAAGATAACGTTGTACAGAAAATAATTCACGTATCACGTGATGTTGTCAATTAATCATTCATCAAATAACATACGAATCTATTAGAAGAAGCAATCATCGTATGCGAACGAAAGATCGATACAACTTTATATGTCTCTATACGTAATATATATGTATATACTAGTTTAAATATTGATTCTATTACATTGATTTTAATACTGTATGTAATACTAAAATTTTATTCAATTTTATTGAAATAAAGCTTTCTAGACTGCTAGACTTGTATATATACGGTATATCATGCATGATTGTGAGGACATATGAACGTTACTCATATCTCGTATTTACCATAAATTTGTATTATCGTATGTATATTTAATTGCGGAATATGTATAGTCTTTTCCTTAAATATAGTTCGCACCTGTTTTCGGCAATTTGCCAGGTGTGATCCTAGAACTTCCTGGAAAAAGTCCTTTACAATTGTTGGCACCCATTTCTTCTATAATATATAATGTCACTCGCGAATGATATTCACTCACAAGTGTTAACTTTAAGTAAGCGTTTAGAAGTAAACTGTCTATCTTAATTTGTTATAATACACGGATACTTGTATTTGTATCGAATCCATAAAGATTGTTTCGACTGGGACGATTGACCTTGGATCACTTGTTGCGAAGCATTTAGATAAACTTTCACCTTATCGTAGAACAATCGACCATCATACCTTTTTATCAATATACTTTAGTAAAAAATTACGCTTACGTTACCTGAGTAACGGAAAATATTTTTAATCTGAACGTTTTTTTATAAATTATTTATCAAATATAACGTAGGCTGATACACATAATCATTTCCCGAAATATAATAGTGTGCGGTGACAGCTATTTAATTTCAGTTAGAATGGAAGACAATGATTTTACCATCACCAATTCTATGTATATCTAAATTACGATAGTTTAGAAATAATGAAACAGACATTAATTTATTTCAACAATTTATTGTGTTGTATTATACGATTAAAATTTGTTTGTTTGCAGCGAGACACAAAAATCGTTGTTTTCTATTTTTTTCTTAGTTTGACAAACCATGTCAAGTGCAACTTGTTGCAGCAATTCCAGCAGTTAGTGATAATTGTAACTAGAACTACTAACTAGTCATAGCTATCAACCACACTGTTAGGGCGATGTTAGAATCGATTTCATACTTGTGCCGATGGCTTTAATTTTTTCTCTAAAGTGCATCTAGATAATATCACAGCCTACTAGCGCCGCGTGGATTTATGTCTCCAACTAAAAACGTAGTTCCACTTCCTCTTGGTCCTCCTGGCAGAGCATTGTAGACTGTAGTGTTGATCGCGAGTTCATGGTTGGACTGTCACGGTAGTATGCAGTATGATCTGTATGACATATAATCGGTTGTCGTCATGCATTTTCGAAATGTAAACAATAGTAAATAATTTTACGTCTTTAAAGCTATGTATAGGTATATGTCTCATCGTTCGATTAATCATCATATACGTAATAACGCCAGAATATATCGACATTCGTGATCATGAGTTAACTTCAAGTAATTAATGTCAAAAGTTATAGAATGGATATTACGGATAATGCTGATGGATATTTAGATCCACGCATACAGGTAATATTTTTTAATGACACTTTTCATATTTGTTATATTTGAAAGTCAGCATGGTAAGAAATGCGTAGATCTAATAGGTTATAGACGTAAATAATTATACTTATTGAACGCGATTGTGATGCCTAACACAGCCTGGTACCATGTTCCACTTTGCTTTCACTTCTTTTCTTCCGTAAATTTCCACATTGTAGAGATGATACATAAACAACTTGACAAATCAAGAATGTAAAAGTAATTCAACACGTAAATTAAATTTTCCTTTTGAACGAAAATTCGGAATTGTCAAGTACAATGCATCTAACTTTATAAACAAAGTCTACAATCATTATGTCACCATTCTTTTGTTTCATTTGTATTCGACAGTTTTAATTATATCGATATATATGTAAAACTTTTATCATTTTATGTTTCCTTACAAAAACTTTATAATGAATCTGTTATTTTCAGATAGAGTTGGAGAACTTGAATGATGCAACAGATGATATTAACAAACTTGAAACTGAATTAGATGTAAGTTCACGGTAGTTACTATTGTATGTTTTTACATTTCAAAGTGTTACAAAATTAATACGATATAAATTATTTATTATTTAGGAAGCTCACACCGCTTTCAGACAATTATTGTCTGAGACTACAAAACGATTAAAAGAAATTTTAAATAAAGTAGGAAATAGTTGTGTTGATAAAGCAAGATGTTATTATGAGGCACTTGAAGTCACACGTCAAGCTCAGGTGAAAAAAAATATTTTAGAAATTTGTCAGACCTTGGAAAACAATTATATATAATTTTTTGTATAGGTACAATGTCAACAACAAGCTCAATTATTTCAAAGAGCAAGTGAAATCCATGCTGCAGCAAAAGAAACTGTAGCTGTAGCAGAAAGTCGATTTATGTCTCATCAGCATGAATGGAACTTTGATCAGGCATGGCAGGATATGTTAAATCATGCAACCATTAAAGTAAGCTACTAACAAAATAAGTTATGATATTTTTATTAGGAAGTAAGTAAAAAACTTAATTTGAATACTTTTAATATAAATATATTTAATATATTCTCATTCAGGTTATGGATGCAGAAAATCAGAAAACAGAATGCGGCCGAGAACATTATAGAAGAGCAGTGCTATTCCATGACGCTAAGAAGAAGTTATTAGAATTAGAAGAAAAGCATCGTCGTTCTATAATAAAAGCGCGACCATATTTCGAAGTTAAAGCTCAATGTGATCAAATGTTAGCAACGCAAAAAGAGAGGGTTGAATGTTTACAAAAAGCAATACAAGATGCAAAAACTAATTACGCAACGAGTCTCCGTAGATTAGAAGAAATTAGTAATCAAATACATCAACAACGCCGAGATTACGGTAACATTATCGATCAATATTTGCAAATTGAATAATAGTTTATAATTATATTCTTAATTGTTAATTAAAAATAATTTATGCTACATAAATTATACTTTTCTGCTTTTAGATTTCATAGCCAACGGACCTCGAGAACCAGGTGTTGGTGCGGAACTAGTTAGTCCACAGAAAACTTCAAATTATGACACAGAATTGAATCAATTAAATAGCAGTAGGGTAAAAGACATTACAAAAAATCAACATAATGAATACGATAGAATTCAAGAGTATAATGTTAGTAAAATATTTGATAATTTCTATATGGATAATAATATTATTAAAGTTAACACTTTAACTATTGAATATTTATGATGTTACAGAATACATGTCAATTACAAGAAGATAGCGAACACCTTGGGAAAAGGTCAGTTGATGGAAGTGAAACAACATCTTCTCAATGGGAGTTAGAAATGCAAGTTAACATAAAAGGTCTGAATAATGTATCTCTTGAAAATTCTGTGCATAATCATGACAGTACGAGCGAAAATATATCCAATTTACAATTTTATGACGAGGAAGATATTAAATCAAACAATTTCACGTCAGACTTAAGATGTAATTTTTTGCAAAGTAAACAATTTTCTATGCATGATTTAAATCAGGATCACAAATTGTTGGAGAATTTTCATACTTCCGAGAATCCAGTAGCAAATATGTCGTTAATGACACGCGTTGAAGGATCAGATATGACAAAGGATAAATTTGGTGATTCAGTAGTATTAAATAAAAGTAACTTATCAAAATCTTTAGCCAATAGTCCTAAAAAACCGAGAGAATTGAATTTACCATTGACGCCTGCTAATAATGTAAAAAGTACGATAAAATATGTGCCAACCAAAATTTCCAAATTTTGCTTTAGTTATAGGTCTCAAAGCAATAGCGATATTAATTTGTCTTTCACTAGTGATATCAATTCTATAGAAAAATATCAAAGTTTGGATGATATTTTAGACAATAAGACTGATAATCTTGAATTTGATAAACAAGTCATGAATTCGAAGTATTACAATGAAATATATACAATGAATAAAACTTATAACAATGGCCTAAATGTCACGCGAAACGTTCATTCACCACGGTGGCATACTCGTAGCAAAATATACTCTCGATCGAAGAAAGAAATAGTACCGGTAGAAAAATCATTTAGCTCTAATTCCACATATTGTTTATCTAATGGTGCCAGTTCATCGGTACAATTAAAACATGCAGTGAGTTTATTAAGTGAAAACTCTTCGAATAGAGAGATAACCGATGATTCTAATAAATTTTCTGCTCTTAAGAAACTAACGAAAATGCCATCGAATGTTAAAGAACTACCGTTGCTATCGTTGCTTGAGAAAAGACATTTGTCAGCGGATAGTAAAGGCAAAAGCTGTAGCATGATTAATTTAGATGACAAGCGAAATTTTATGTTATTAAACGACACATATTTCAATAACACAAGACCTGTAAGTACAGAACAACTAGAAAACTTGAAAGATAATTTATTTCTAAGGACTTCAAGATAAGGAATAAAGATTACAATCATATAAAAAAGATGTGATAAATTATACAATAAACCTAATATGAAAGTTTTTAACAAATTTAAACGTTATTCTGTGGACGGACATTATTTATTTTTAATTTTGCAAACAAGGTTAGTGTTATTTTTTTTATTCAAACTAAATACTACTGACTTCGTACACGTTTTTATTGATGACACGAAATAAATCAATCAAAAAATAGAATTGTTTCATAGTCACGTTATAACAGCATATGCAATTTATGTTTGTCTTGAAAGTAGTTGCGCTAATAATTTTCAGTTAATTTGCATACAAAAAAATGATAAGATGTCGAAATTTTGCATGCTTAGAATCATACTTTACAAGTACTTTATTTCAAACCAAACTCATTAACTATATACTGTTGTTGCCAATCGTATATTCTCATTATAGAAATCTTTATATTATGTATAAAATACACTTTTAATAAGGCCTATTCAATTTATAAAACTTCTTTTATCAAACTCTATTACAAGAGTACTTTGTTACGAACAAACTATTTGTACAAGTATCATTTTTTACTAATTAGTGCCACTATATTATAGTTTAAATGGTAATATAAAAAGTGATCTGTATGTTAAAACATTTTACACAATTTTTGGAATCTCTTTTTACAGTGGTGTAATTTTCTAAATATTTCTTTTATTATCATGTTACAAATTTAATTTAACAAACATTTCATATTAGTAAACATTTATTTTCCTGGAGTACTTTATTTATCAGACTAGTCACTTCATGAACAAATTCTTTAAAGTTAATTTTAAAGTTTCAATGAAATTGGTGTCTCGAAAACTGGATAAAGATGCTTTTTGTAATTATATGTTTGAGTACAAAAATATATATGATTGTATATATACTAAGCGTGATTATTTTAGTAACAATGATTTTGTAAATACTAATTTTCATATTACATACAATATTATGTTAATGTTGTAGATTATTATTGGGAGTTATAATTTATAAGAATTAGTCTTAGTTAACAATATATTTTATTATAATTATTTCAGAAACAAAATATAAAACACATGTAAAAATCTGTTGCTGCCTTTTCCTATGATTAATTCTTCTTGACAAATCTTAGAACTTATGCTTCATTGTTAAGTTGCTCCCGAGATTTATCAACAGAGTATTTTTCTTTAGAGGGATGCCAAAGAATTATGAATTAAACGAATATAAAGAACGAATAAGTACAAACATGTACTCGCTTTAATTTACTGATTTAATTAACTTATCAGGAGAATGATCTGCTTTATCTAACGAGTATTCTACGTTACTAACAAAACAATTTATCTAACGTGTATTCTAAATTACCAGCAGAGTAATTTGTCAAACAGCATCTCTTATTTTATGTTCTAAATTATTTTATATTTCGTATTAACGAAATACAATTACGAGCAAATTATAATTTATGAACAAATTTGTGTTAATATACAAAGTGTTAGCCCTGTGCGACTGAAAGTTAACGTGCGTAATGTGTTAAAATTGCCCTGACAATGAACGCGGAATAGATGCGCTTCTATCGATGTGGGTATTAAGCATGTAGGCTATTTTGACGGGAAGATCACGTGATTAAATACTCAGCCGTCGCCACCACCGTCACCACTGCTGTCGTCGCCCGACCAGACGGACACTATGTTACAATCCATAGATACGCAGCTCAACCATTCCACATCTTTCGGAAGAGAGCGCGGTATAGCGTGAGATCTGTAATGTGCGCGCGTATATATGTGTTTTATACGTTTGTATAGGTACATTTACAGATGTGCGTGTGTATATGTACAAATATGTGTTGAGATACACTAGTTTGATAGATACAAGAATACGATAGAGGCAAAGCTGCTAAGGTAGGAGACATAGAAGCGCGGTAGGAGGCCAAGCGTTATACTGTCTCTGTAGACGAGGCGGCGTTAAAAAGGGGTATAGTGAGCTGAAGTTCGATCGACGACGTGATACTTGTGAAAGAGATCTGAAACGGATTGAATTTACGGTAATTGTTTGTCATCTGAGCAGCATGAGCGCGCGAGACGGATCCATGCATAGGCATACATGTACGAAACTGTATAAAATTAAAAATACAGCGCTCTGTATGTTCACAGAGTACACGATACGCGGCCTGTTTAAGGGTCCTGTGGCATCCTCTCGTGTTTACATATGCGTATGCTCGTAGTGTGCGTCGTGCATGTGCGAAAAATAGCAAGGCGGAGTATTTGCACCGGAAAAAAAGATACCGATGGAGAGAGCGGTGGGAGGGAAGGAGAATAGCACGCATGCAATCGACGAAACGTCTCTTGCCCATGAAAAAATGCCAGTGCACGCACTAGTGTTCAGTTTATGTTAATATGTACCGACGAATGACCGTGCGTAAATAATTAACTCGGGTCCACGTTGTTTGGAAACGACACCGCGCGATACCCATGAAAAATATGCGTATCTTTACGCGTGGTTGTTCGTTTCTCGGGCCGTGCGCGATCGATACGTCACTTGGTTGCGATGTACTAAGTCGATCCGTTGTCCGACGATGCCACTGCTGGTGACGGCCACGACGATGATAATATTCATCGGTCGAACGTATCATCGATCTCATAATTGTTGTAACGGAATAGTGTAACCGCATTATTTATTTGTTTTCGTTATCGTCATTGCGAACGACGTCGACGACGACACTGGTGTCCCGTGTGTCGGTGGTGTTGGGTGGTAGTGAGCAGCAGTGAGCGGTAGTGACAGTGGCGACGACGACGACGACCACAACGACGACGACGACGACGACGCTGGCGGTGATTGTGACGGCGGCGGCGACAGTGGTGGTAGAAATAGCGGTGGCGGTGGCGGTCGAATGGCGGTCGCAGTGGCGATCGTGATAGCGACGGCAGCGACGGTAGTAACGATAATATCGAAAGTAACGACGATAGTGATAACCAAGTCCGCGAAACAATGGATATGCATTACCCGATGGAATTTATCGTATTAAAATAACATGATAAATGAAAAAATATGCAAACGAAATCAGCCAGAGGTAGAAAAAGAAGAGCCTAGCTGCGAATAATCGCGTTTCTTGGGTGTTCTCGCGGCCGAATTCGCGAGCAAATCGAGCAAACGAACGTTGAATTGACAAGAAGGAACACGTTCGTCTATAGATTCGTTTACAGCGGCGATACATCGCTTATTTTTAGTATATCTGTGGATACGCTCGTTTCAGACAAGTTCGAATTATCATGTGCATGGAAGCGAGATTGCGATGGACAATAGACTGTGGATAGTAGATAATCGGATCCTTGCGTTCAACATAATATTACGACGAGGGGGACAGACTTAGAGAAAGACACATGAACGGGTTAAGCTTGTGCTCGTCTCGCGTGCCAAACGAGAAGCGACGGGATGTAACAGTGCATCGTATGAGATGAACACTTGGCATTGTTGTTCTCTAACGATATCTTTCTCCCGTAATCGTACGCGCGAATTATATCTGTAACATGTCGAATTAAGTGCTACGAAGTGAAAACGTGTAGGTTTTGTATATTATAGGTGTAAGTACGCCTATATCGTACGAAATAGCGTGGTATGTCACGAGCTGTCTCGAAGATTTTCTACAACGAATTATTTCGTTATCTTCTTGGATCATTGTATATACGTTACGAATAATGGAGACGCTATTGCCAGGCAATACAAACAGTCAATCGTACAGTCCGCAGCTCAAGACCGTTCTAAAGACATATCAGCTATCCGCTGTGAAAAGCTTACAGGGACCGAGTTCGGCCCTGCTTGGTATGGACTGTAAGAGCCTACTACAGGAACAGGCACCTTGTTACTCCCCTTCGAATCGATTGAGTAATTGTGTCATTGATTCAATATCGGAGCTGGTCTCTTCTAAGGATATTGAAAAAGATAATAACCCATCGGTAACACCTATAGTTCAGAGCAAAGTACGCAGGACGGATCAACCACTGGAAGATTCGGACGAGGATCCTCAATTGGAGCGCTCGAAAAACGTTTGCGAAAAGAGAGAATTGGAATTTCAAATACCTATCTTAACTGCACCCGACCAAAGTTGCTCCGAAAGATGCGAGACAATTTTAGAGGGTGAACGAATATCCTGTTTTGTTGTAGGAGGCGAAAGAAGGTTATGTTTACCACAAATTTTGAATACAGTCTTACAAGAATTTTCCCTTCAGCAGATTAATCAAGTTTGCGACGAGTTACAAATTTATTGCTCACGATGCACACGAGATCAGCTGGAAGAACTTAAACATTCTGGAATTCTGCCACGTAACGCTCCTTCCTGTGGCCTTATCACTCAAACGGATGCTGAGAGACTTGTCAGTGCTTTGCTATTACGAACGGAATCGTGCGAACCTCCTCGTATCGGTCAAAATCAAGATAGCGTTGAAAAGAAAATTTCGCCTAAAATTGATAACGACGAAGAATCGTTCGTCAAATTTAGAGTGTATCACGAGTGTTTTGGGAAATGTAAAGGCATTTTTGACACGAGTTTGTTCGAGTCCGATGATTCAGTGTGTATAGAGTGTATCGAATGTGGCTGCCAATTCTCACCTCAACGATTCGTTAGACACGCTCATAGATCTCTGGAAAATCGTACCTGTCATTGGGGCTTTGATTCTGCAAACTGGCGATCGTATCTGTTACTTTCACGGGAACAAGAACATTATAATAAATCGCTCGCTGTATTTAGAGAGTTAAAAGAGAAACATCATACACTCAACTCCAAACGAAAATCAGAGGTATTGTATGTTTAATTATGTTTGAAAAGTTTTCAATTAATATTGCAATCATACAACTTTGAATGTATACCAAAAGATAAGTAGCAAAACAGATAATAGAGAATAAACACTTTTTCAGTTGCGGCTGGACTCTGAGAAACTGGCTAAACGTATTAGAAAAGATGTAGGAAGAGATGAGTGCCCAGGAATGTACAATGGAAATGGTTTAGGCATGTATCATCCTGTATCTCAGGTAACCAATGCAACCGATCCATATCTACAAATGCAATGGGCCGTTTTTGAATTAGCAGCTAGAGGAGCATCAGCTTTTAGACCTTGGAATACCACGAGTACTTGCAAACATAAAGATAAGTAAGTATGGTATTGAGCAGACATATTTAGAGATGTATACATATAATGTTTTATAATGAATATGTAATTTTCTGTAAACAGTTCGTCATTGGTACCTGCATACCTTAGCCGAGGTCCACCTGTACTGCAACATCCAGAATGTGTGGTTCCCCTTTCTGAGTGCAAACATTTTGAACCACATTTTCAACCAAATGTAGCCTTAGCACCTATACCTGCACCATCAGTGCCTGTAGTACTTCCACCATCTGCTCATCATCAGCGGCGACATCATCACGAACATAAACGTTATAATCATCATTTATCGAGTCCTCATGAAAAAAAAGAAGCTCCATTAGATAATGTTAAACTTGAGAAAACATCTCCTAATTCTGGATCTAGTATTGGCACTTATTCTTCGTTCTCATCGTACGCACCTGGAAGCAATAAGAAAGAATTGCAGCAGAGGAGTAAAAATGAAGTAGGCGAAGAAGAAGAAAGTAGTGCTGCGGTAACATCTTCCACGGTAAGCATAGATCCACCTTCGACAGAGACTGGAACTTTGCTTGAAAGTGACTCCGATTCAGAAGGAACCACAGCGATAGATTTAGAAGAAAGACTATTGGCATTGGAAGTACCACAAGATGTCTTAGAGCTTGTACGGCGTATAGTTTCGGAAAATACACAATTACGACGTCATCGACGTTCAGACGCACGTGAAATATCACGATTGCGTAATCAATTGCAAATGCAGCATCCACAATCATCTAATGGTGGTGATAAGAAAGAGGAACCAGCAAATGCGAGTGCAGCAGATAGTACGGAAGGTAGCGAAGAGGTCGAAGCTACGTTACCTTCGAATAATAAAGAGTCTGAATCTGTTGTTCTGGCAGTTAGTAAAGAATAAAATCAGTGATTAGAGTTTTTTAAATTATTTAATATAAAACTGCTCAGCAATTTTTTGCAATGCTTATCTTTTGGCCAGATAGGCGTGCATAAAATTTAGTATTAGCTATAATAATAATGGTAAAATTCTAAAGGAGTAAAAAACTGTTTAGGTTATGTGATACATAGGAAGCCTTTAACGTTATAACAGTTAATTTAACATTTTTATTGTAATCAAACTTCATTGTGTCGATTTTAATTGAAATCGAATGTAAATATTGTAATATACGAAAAAGCAAAATAAGTTAACCAGAATTTATCATGCCATTTAGTAGTTATATTTAACGATCATTAAATAAGTTTCTTACGCATATTAAATATGCATACACCACAAAGATTTTTATGGTCAGTTGTTTAATTGAAAAATTGAACAGTGATCAGAAAATAAGAGATTAGATTGCTTTCCATTTACTTTTTATAGTCATGAATGCATAATGTAAATACATTCAAGTATCATAGATGTATGTTTATATTAATAACATTATCATGCAAAATATTGCTAAAGTACAAACAACCTTTAGGTGCTATATTGTTACATTAGGAATGTTCTAAGCATAAATCTAGGTGTATTTCAACAGTTCGTACTATATTATAATATTAAACACCTTGATTATTTTTTATTTTTATTATCTTTATAGCATCAAATGTGAATGACATTTTTTTTCTTGCTAATAAACTCATTTCGAGTGATTATACGCAGGTAATATAAGTTAATTATTTAAACGTCAGAAAATCGTAACATTATTATTGTACAAGTGATATTACAGGGAAACGATAAAAATTTAATTTATATACGAAATTACTAATTTTTTATATGTTGAATAATTCCTACATTATTTTATGGCAGCAGATCTGGGAAAAATACATTCTTTAACGACGAATACAAATTTTAGATTCATCTGTAAACTAACATTTACGAGGTGTCCTCGTCTGCTTGGATTTCGATTTAAAAATATCCATTAACGGATTATTATTTACGAACGAAACGTGAACGTAACTTGTTTACGAATAAATCTTATATTTTTGTTTATTAATCGGAAGTAATATTTGCCCAAATCTGTATAGCAGTTAACTAATTCCAATTTCTAAAAGGTAGATTTGTTTGTATTGTGGACAGTTGAATTAAGAATAGAATGAATGTTATTTTATTAAAAACACACGGGTTCGTGATATGTGTACTTTTATTTTGTATTTCTCTCGCAATATTGTATATTATCTCAAGGTATCTTATTAATAATTTGTCATTTTTAGCAAAAAATACTGCAGTATGTAAACTTGCTATAGGAAATTGTTACGTAGAATTATTATACTTTTGGTATTAATATTTATTTGAGACATTGTATTTACATATCATTTTAATTATATTAAAAATTTGGAAGATATTCAACCCTATGGGTCGTGAAACTTTTATTGTGATTTATTAGAAATATTTTTTCGTGATCAAAAAATTACGTTTTATGAAGGATAAAGTAATCGGTACTTGTAGGGTATTATGGAACAAAATTATAAGCACAATTCTGCCTTCTACTATATTTTGCCCTATTTTCTGCTCATTATTATGGTGTGTACATGCAATAATAGAAAAAATACATTTTTTTAATATTTATGCAAAAGCAACACTGATTTAGAGATATACCTAGATACACATTAAATGTCTAAGAGTAAGAAAACGTAAATATAAAAATATATATAAAGATATAAATATATATAAATTCGTATGTAATATATATTTATATTTGTATATATCTTCAGCATACATTTTTCTTTTTTTTTAAATTTATTGATTTTTATCATTGTTTTGCTAGTTTTATCTAACATGTGAAATTGATATAATTCGAATATGGATTTCTTAAAATTTGAAAGTAAATTCAAAAGATTCAATATACCATTATTAATTTATATTTCGAAACGTTGTTTTGGACGCATTATGATTAAAAATTGAAAATTCATGAAATATTAAAAAAATTAAAAACATATTGAAAAGATTGTTTTATAAGCTTGAAAAGCTTTTTGTATTCGGTACATACTAGAAATATGATATAAATCTTACACATATTTACATATTATAGCAAAATCAATTAGTAATTATACATTTCTGTATTTGAAATATACATATACATATATTTCGAGACTGCTTCGAAGATCTCTTATCATATACATTTTTCTATCATTAACAAGAGTGCCAGTAATTCTTGTATCGCATCAAAGCACAAGACATAAAGAAATTTCCATTTTCAATTTTATTATTTGCAACAGACGCTTTTTAAGTAAAGTGAGTAGTAAATTTTCAAAGCAATCTGTTAGAGAAGAAATTTAAGGTGTATGATATCATTGATTACATAGGATATATGAATTCATTATACTCCATATAACATTTGATCACTACATAACGACATATATTCGTTACACCATATTGTTGTAATAATATAAGCATCCCACCTATGATTAAGAATGTTATAATTTATGATTTTCATACGCACTCAGTTTAATTATAGATATACATATAGAATATGTCGTAAATAGTAGGTACATGTATGAATTACATACAACTCGGTTTTGAATACATTTGAGATCTGCATATGAAGTTTCAATGAATCATGTAACTGCCATGACTAAAGATGTATTTTAATTTTGAATGGGTGATGTATTTAGTTAAAATGGGAAATTACAAATAAATACATAATATGCGACGTCTGATTTTATTAACATTTATGCACGATACACGACGTGTTGATGTGGATTTCGTTCGTTCGAATAAATAACAATTACGCCAATCGGCTTCTACTTGTTTAAGGCGATTTATAAAAAAATGATGTTATTGAATATTTCATAAATATGAAAAGTCGTTATTGTTATGATATATTTATTTCAAGTTTAGAAGGAAATTATGCGTTAGCAGTAGCTAATATAATTATTACATACATTACACGCGTACGCTCAACATTATATGCATATTGAATATGCGCGTATTTAATACATTTAATATTCAAGAACTCGTTCGATTTTCATTTCGAATAGTTGACCATAATAGATTTCTCTGTTTGTGTTGCAAGTAGAATTGTGAAATACTAATCGAACGAGTTACAAGTTATTGTTTTCTTCTCCCGCGTCCATGAATTGGAATTCAAGAAAATAAACTATTGAGTGAAAGATAAGGCGTCCATTACACCAATTGAGTGATTTTTAACGCATTGCTTCGTATATGAACGTACTAATACATAATTAGTGTATATCTATTGGTCTCCATTACATGGTATAGGTAATATATCTAATATGTACTCTGAGTGTGATTTTACACCCTTTGTTCTATGCGAAACTCAATTATGGATATGAAGTATCTAAAAAAAAAAAGGGACTGTCATAAATTTAATTAAAAATAAATTAAATAGTAAACAGAAGCTATTAGCTATCTAGTAAAGTAAAAGTTATGTGGCAACTATTTGTATTTACCGGGGACGTGGTACGTATATTATGCTAGTAAAGTATATAAAATTTCAAATTTCATTTCAAGCACACCGTCAATAGTTTATTTTCTTAAGTGCAAACACATACTCCTCGCTGGATGACATAATAGATGTAAAATTAATGTGTTTCATTATAACATAGAAATATTCTTAAGGAATTAAGTGTGTCATTAATATACAAAACAAGTGCAATATGAAAGTACAAAATTTAACCATTCATTTGAATTTTGTATATTTTACAAAAAAAGAGAGAAAGGAATATATGAACATTTTCACCGATATTCTAAATTCTAGTTATAAGAATTTTGAAAATGTTTTACCGCCAAAAATCTTTACAATGTATGAGACCATGTCCCTGATAACGTACTTATATGTATAGCATTGAACTTTTAAATACTATTCTCTAATTATGAAAAAAAAGGGCAGTTTAGAACAATTTAACGATATACAATTTTCTAATCGCTTTAACGTTATTCTGAATTTTATATAATCGAATATCTATATTCGAACGACGAATTCCATATTCTTATGGATGGATATATAACAATGGATATTAAGTAGTTTCAGTAGCGGTCTGATTGATATTTGGTATAACTGTAGAATAAATGTACATACAATTATTTTCCAAAAAAATACTCATTGTTAAATGTATATGACGGAAACTGTTATAGATAAGGCTATTATCGTCATTTATATTAATTGAGATAATAAACGACATTTCGATTAAAGAAGATTACTTCATATTATTACATTAGTTGCTTTCAATAGAATAAATATACTGTAATTCCTTCATGCTATTTTAATGCTTATATACAAAATAATATTATTTGTACACTAAACATTTAACAATGCCATAATATTGTTTATTTTTCTTTCATTAAATAATCATATGTTTCTTACAGTATAATTTTGACATAAGATTATTTAAAAATTATTAAATATTTTTTGCTATACTAATCCATTTTTATTAGAATGGAAAGAAATTCGGTATTATGCTTAACTCATACAGCAGAGAATATTATAGGAATATGTAGGAAAAATCATTGGAATATTATTGATTGTGTGTAGTAATACTTAAATGATCACACAATTGGTAATAGTCATTTATTATGAAATTACACAATGTTTTGTATTTTATAAAATTATCCTATCGTATTCTTCTTATCGTACTGCGCGCTCAGCTTTCTCTGACGCGCATGTGCGAGAGTTGGAGTCAACATTCTATTCTATTGTGTTTACAGTCTAAGAACACAAGTGGGGTCATATCCGCATAACTACTAATGCGAATTTTTACCGAATTCAGACATCCAAATAAAAGAATGTTAACTCCTTGATTTTTTATCACCCCTACATTCGTTTAAAATACAAAATTCATCATTCGTTCGTTATTTAAAGTATCAATTCATTCAACTTGTCCCTGCTTACTCTAAATGTAAATACAATTCTACTGCGTATATTACATTATCACATTTTCCGAATCTAACATTGGCTTCGTTTTATTAGCTTTCGTACTCTTCCGAAAATAGCAAATTGTAAATGTATACATTTAAATAGTAACATGGAAAATATTCATGATATATGTATTATGAAAAATTCGAATCAGTATACAAAGTTTTCTTTTTTATCAGAATCGTTCGAAATAGGTATTTTCATGAAATGTACATGAACAATTATAAATAAGCTATTTACTTGTAAATTCGTATGTCGAAGCGCCGTCTACCTGTTGCATTCACGACTACAAGTACCTGATTCCAGTTTCATCCAAAATCCTTTGGGAGAACGAAAGACTAATTAGGTTTCTGGTTCGAGACTTTACCGTTATATTCTTAACACATTCTTACTCGTAGACGTAAATTATCCCGAATATTTATTTAAAAATTTCTTATTACACGGTAAAACCTTTTGTCATTTTCACGAATGTCTAATACGTGTACATTCGTTATGTTATATTTCATTTCGGTGATTTTCTGACACTTGACAATTTGTGTTCTGAGAATGTAATTTTCTGTCAGTTTTAAGAAAACAGAATGGCTTTTCTATGTCCTGTGCGTATTCGACGGGGAAAGAAAAAGAAACGTGAGTAGAAAACATCAAACAGTGCCTTGAAAAATATTCACCTTTGTACAATTTTCAATTGTTATAAAATGTACATATACGTTAAGTATGTATATTACCTTTTGAAATTTTGTCTATAAAATTGCATGTACATAAGTACATTTAAAAATACTTAGAATAACATTTTAATTATTTGAATTTGATAATGCAATGGAAGAGTGAATATTTTATTTTGTCAAAACAACCATATCCATATTATTAAAACTTACAAAATGAGGAACTAATACAACAATAAATTGTTTACGATATAGCAGGAGTACATAATTTCAATTTGGAGAAAGATTGTGTCGGAGCTGGAGGTACAGGATTAGGTTCGGGAACAAAAGTACCGTTACCTCCTGGTCGTATAACAGGAAGCGCTAGTATTGAAACTTTAGTCAGAGTAGGTATCGAAAAAGAAAATGGACTTTCGCCAGATAGTAAAATGGTCATTGTTCATGACTTTACTCCTTGTGTTGATGATGAACTTCAAGTAAAACGTGGCCAGGTTAGTAGTTTTTTACATTCAACAATATTAAAAATATGTAAATAACCCATTGTATGTTTGTCTTCATTCTACCTTCTTGTATTTGCTTTCATATTTATGTATACTATGTGTTAAATTATTTTTCAACTTTAATTTCATTCTGTTCAATGTTGAGTATAAACTGCATTTTCTGATGGTGTTGTTTTGTTTATTTTTTGCATGTTTTAGGTTGTAAATGTTTTATATAGAGAGAATGATTGGGTGTATGTAATAGCAGCTGATACACGTATGGAAGGCTTTGTACCACATTCGTATTGTGCACCTTACACATCACAGCTTGCTGAATTAACACTTGCTACTCTAATGAACAATGTGAAAAAGAAACTACCAAGGTCTAATGAGACTGATTGTGATTTTGCTGGTACAGGTCGTTCACAAACAGTAGATGCACAACAAACTGACACTGGATCAGCATCAGATTGCGAAAGTTATGCTCGTAATGTCACTACTGCTGACGTAAATGTTAATCGATCTAATATTACACAGTCTCAAAATTCCATTCAAACTATATCGTCTCAGGCAGACATACATCCATTCTTTAAGGTGCGTATACAAATATTTAAATTATGTGTATAATATGATTATGATATGAATTGAATAGTTTATTCAATTAAAGAAATTAAATTATTTAAGTACAGTAAGTATAACATTTGTAGTTTTCATTATAGGATCCATCAGCTGGAAGATACATCGTACTTTATACTTTTGTGGCTAGAGATGAAAATGATGTTAGCGTAGAAAGAGGTGAATTTGTAACTGTTCTCAATCGAGATGACCCTGATTGGTTTTGGGTACTTAGACATTGCGATGGTAACGAAGGATTTGTTCCATCTGGATTTGTATATCCAGGACATGTTCTTCATTCTTATGCGACAACAACTACTACAACTACCACTACAACTACTGCAGCAACTACATCTACAGAAACGCATAGTTTAGGTTAGATTTATTCTTCATCATGATTGATGATACTACATAAGATTTTAAGTCTAATAGATTTTAATTTGTTGTAACGTTTAATTCAAGGGAAAAGCAGCAACACAATGCCAGGAAATGAATCATTACAACAAAAAGGTTTACGAGATTTTCGCGATGAAACAAATGGTACAGAATTAGTTGTACTTTACGATTACAAGGCGCAGGCGCCAGATGATTTATCTGTGAGAAGAGCTGACTGGATATATGCGGATTTGGGAAACCAAACAGTGGATGGTTGGTTGTGGGCATATGCACCTAAAACTCGCAAATATGGTTTTATTCCGAAAGCATACGCCCGCCCTCCTGCTATGACGAGCTTATGATACAAACTATAACCTTGTATATCTGACATTTTTTTGCGTATATTCAAATAACAAAGTACTTCTATATAATACCGCATTCTAAGCGAAGATGAGAATTATGGAGATACGAGAATTACACTTTTCTCTGTGTAAGTATTTATACTAACACTCTTAATGAAAATATCGAAATGTTATTTTATATATCTACACATTTTTATAGTATATTTAATTTAATGTACAGTAACATTAACATTGAGTGTAGCACAATTGGATGTAATGTGATTAAGGAGACCTTCGTGCAGAACTATGCAATCACCTGTTGAAAAAATATCTTCGGGACACTGAGCTGTTCGTAACGAGTTCACTGGACCTGTATATGTCAGGGAACGTAAGCCTTCACTATCAATCTTATCCACAGCCTATTGTGGAAATAGACCATTTTTTATTACATGCAATCATTTATCATGTACATAGACATAATCACTTGTCTAACTGTTTTTAATGATATAATATACCTGAATACTACATAGAAGTTTCTCTGCTGTGTTTCCAATGTCCAATCCAGCAACCCATGCAATAATTATGTCTTTTTCATGGAAATTCTTATTATTATTAGACTTGTCAGCAAATACGTTATGATTTCTACTATGTAGTCGAGCAGCTAGCACTGGTAGCGGTAAACGATTTCGGAATTTTGGGTTCATTTGATTACCATTAAATAGTCTCGCAACAGGATCTCTTATTTTACAAATTATGTTAATTGGATAGATTAAACAAAATATGAATTTACGAATATAGAAGAGTGCGGCAAATTGCATTACATAATAAAATTATAATTTAAGTTTACTCACGAGAGTTTACCGGAAACTAAAAGGAGAGCTAGGCACAAGCTGGAATGCGAAGATAGTGCACTGAAACTGACGATAAGTGTACTCTTAATACCTGGTTCTACGTTTAAAATGGGTACTTCTGGATGATCAAAGATAAAATGATGCGTCAGTGCTGAAAAAGCTACATTTATGGCACAATCGATTCGCGGACAACGAATTGGCCTACGAGAACATTCTGAAGTGATTTGTCCGTTAACTTTTGTTTGATATAAATCATAGTAGCTGTATTGTTGCTTTGGTTTACATATATTTCCCTCTTCTCGAGTATTACTTTGATCTTTAATTTGTTCGTAATCAAAACTTTCTTCAGAATCTTGAATATTGTAATATCCCAAAACGTTTTGTTCAATATTAGGCGATGTGGTCAAATGATTTTGATTCCAAGTTTTAACATATGATTCTTCAACATTTAGAGGCATGCATTGTTGTACACGCTGATGCATATAGTGTTTTGGTTGTTGCCGTGAGACTTGTGTCCTTGTCTGCATGTGTATGGAATTAAAACTGGTGTTGCTTTCTCGTGATAAACTTATGTTTGATTGTTGAAATTGTGGATGACAAAGAATACAACCTGGAGCTGTAACATATAACTGTTGTTTAAAAATTTGTTCTTTTATTTCCTTGGACTTATAAGTTAATTTATCCAATTTGGACTTCATGAATGTATTACATGAAATTAAAGATTGAAATTGTATAAAAAAATAAAATTTTGATAAAAAATATATTTTGATTAGAAACACATTTTTGAATCGAATACAATTATAATTAGAAGAATATAATTGTAAAATTGTGCATCAATTAACCTGATGGGATTATGAAATGCTGAATGCAACGTTCACACAACATATGTCCCTCAGAACAAGGAACATGATTATTAAAACTAGAATTTATGTTTCCAAGAGGATGATGGCAAATAGTACAGGGACCAAACATTGTGTTTGTTTGCAATACACCGTCACTTTGTTCTTTTTTTCTTTCTTCTTCATTAGACATTCTAATCCTAAAATGTTTTTCTCCTTGCATCCTTTTTTCATCACTTAGTGTTTTTGAGTCTGCTTGCTAGAAGAATTCTGTCAAGCTATATATTACATTCACAATTTTGAATCTTAAAATGCTTGAATACCCAATCATGCGCCTCGTTCTGATTCTTTATCAGGTTGCAGTATGCTTTGTTAACTCGACGATTTTCTTTTTCCATTTCTGTTTTTAGATACTTGGGTCAACTTGTATATCTCCCTGAATGATAACCTTTAATGATAGACTCTTGTATGTCGTTAAAGTACGTACTTATTGCTGTAAAATATATATCGATTTCGTTCTAACTATTACTAATCAACCAAAATACCTGCTAAGATATGAATATATTATTAAGGGCATCATTCTAAGTTTTTATAGTCACTCTTTTAAAAAAAAATGTACCTATTATCTTGTTACAATATTACAAATTTTTGTATACATTTTCATTGTATTATATATCAAAAATTATACATATAAATATGACAGTATAAAATAACAACGAAACATTTATTACTCTAAAAACAAATATTTACGAATTATCACGTATACAGTTACCAAGTATAACGGCAACATCACTTAGTCGCAAATTATTTTCGTTAAATTGGTTCGTTATCAAACGTTCTTATATTTTCGATTCGCTATAATTTATTTAACAACGTTTTACGTCCGTCAACGAGATAAACTTTGATACGTATGATTTGTCAATTACATTTAAGGAACCATTTTGACGTCTATTTTTCTTTGTCATTTTTCGATACCTTCAAATATTTGAGATTTTTTCGAAAAGGTACACGAGTGGTTAAAAATATAAACAAGACTTTTACGTGACTAATATTTTTACGAATTAACAGGTTTATTTTTCTGGAAACATCCGTTACATTCTGAACATATTGGTCAATGCTAAAATTGGCAGTTTTTTAGTGTGAATATTGTAAAAATTGACGGGTAAAATTAAATGGTATCGCGGTCCCTCAGGGGCTGTAGCATGCAAGTATCGGGCCTAGCAACCCCGGGGTACCGTAGCTAGACGGGGGAAGGGGGCCAGCGGGCCCCAACAGACGTGTACAAAACACAAGACTAAAATGCAATGTACAGAGTTACGATAATGCGAACTGAGTCGGAATTAAGGATTTATGTAGGGAAAAGTAATGTCAAGAAAAATAGAAATAGTATTGTGATGTATGGATTCGGTACAATAACCAAAGTAACTGAAGTTTTTTTACTTTTTTCTGCATATTCATATAATTTTATATCGTAATTATCATAATCGAATTTATAATTGTTGATTTGTACACTAATAATTGACTGATATTGTTTTTTAATTAAAAAAAAAAAACAACACCACACAGAAAACTGTGGCGCCATCTCTCGGCGAATCGCCCAAGTTCGTCGTGTAGTTTCCAGCTTCAGCTGCTAGATGGCGCCACCAGACACGGAAATGTTCAATACATAAATTATCTACTTTTCTTTATATACAAATGTAATTTTACATTCTAACTACCATAATTCAACTTGTAATTGTTAGTTAGTACACTAATAATTTTAGAATTGGATTTCTAGTTTCAGTTGTTTTTCATGCACTGGTGTATCTCCCCAGAGACAGCGACCTCTGGATAACTTGGAAAAAATGGCTCGAATTGTTTTGAATCAACGGCATAGAGATAAATATCTAATTACTCAATAATGAGATTAATTAACACTCTTCAGTCAGAGTTTTATTATCACAATATTACATGGCATACGGAATTCGCAATATGTGGGTTATAGAAGACACTAAAGCTTTTTTCTTTTTAATTTTTTCTTACATAATAACAGGTAAATAAACTCTCTACAATAATATCGTATTTGTAACTATAATCATCCTTACTTGAAGTGAATTATTTATGAAAAACACTGCTTTACATAAGTTTAGTAATTACAAAAAATCTTACACAGCTTAAATTTTACTCATAGTATTTATACTCAAATATTACAGACAGTATTATAAATATTACTACTACATACGTAATGGTGAATTTTTAATGAATTGCAAAATTTAAATACGATCACACGATGCTCTAAATTTAATTATGAATCCATGTTGGGTGTAGATGATTCTTCTACTTTTGATTCCAAAGAAAAGGGTGGAATTCTACAATCGAAAGCATATCCATCTTCTCTTTCCATTCTGAATGTGCCCCTAAAACATTAAAACAACCTGTATTACACCAAATATAAATAGAAAGAAAACAGACACTGATACTAATATTTTGAATCAACTATATCATAATAATTACATACCACATATGTCCACTCGCAGCTTGTAAACTCACATGACTGCTATACTGAAAAGCAGGTAGAACTTTTGATAAAATAGGTTCTTGACCAACTACACCTCTTCCTCTGACGGTCTCCAATGTGCCAGAGAGACTGAATATTCTCCAATGTCTTTCACGTAATTGTACACTCAAATTACCCAAATTTTCCAAACGGATGCAGTACCGCCACTAAATGATATTTATTTTATTAATTGAAGAACTTTTTATTAACTTTAAACTAAATTTGTGTGTACTGTTTGCATTATATATTGTAATACATACCCAATGTACAGCTGTTGTTTGACTTCCTCTACAACCCATGTAGAATGGTATAACAGTAACACGAATATTTTCAGTAGTCTCTTTATGTACATCTGATAATTCTAACCATGGGTGATTCTTTTTTTGCCATGCTCTAAGAGTTTCTTGTGCGACGAAACATGGATCTCGATTTGGATGGTACATTAAAAATTTATCAAAAAGTTCATGTTGCAATGCAGTTTTCTCATTCGTAGTGTAAGGTAAAACATCTTCATGAGCTACATAATCTAATCCTGGTATTGCATATAAACTGCGACTACTTTCATGGTTACCCAAAAATGTTACAGCTTCAGTTTGGGCACGCTACATTACACACATACATATGAATATATATAAGATTAATAAAATGTTGGTTAGCGTTTCTTTCATCTATGTATTCATTATACTTACTATGTAAGGACAATCCCTTTGGTCAATTAATACCTGATAAAATGTGTGAGTTCTACCTTTTACTTCTTTCTCGACGCTATTAAAGTTACCATTTGTGTTTCTACAATGAAACGATAGTTTTCATTTAATATACATGTAATTATATTATATATTGATGACTTACAACATACATCCAATATATTTGATGTTAGCCAACAATAGTGATAATATTAACATGTAACAATTAGAAACAATTATTTAAAATAAATAATTATTGTTGTAAGCTTACTCTTCTCTTTTATTTGGAATATCTCTGTCATAAACTCTTGCTACCCATGGGAATAATATTACTCCACGATATCCAAATACTCTATGTAAGATTAATTGACCAGTTTCATATTTTCCTTGCAATTTTGGTGTTTCTAATTTTCCTACCTCTGCCAATCTAGAATAAGAATATTATTCATAACATTGTAACAAGATTGCTAATGAAATATGTAATTCAAAATTCATACTTTTTATTTTTAATCAATATGTTCCCAAAAATAGTAAATAGTTTATTTTACATTAAATATTCATGACCATTTTGTGTTCTATGTATATACAAACTAATTAAAAAACTGGATGCGTAAATTTAAAAAATAAGACAATTATACTTAAAAGTAAAGATGAGTACAATGTTCTCTAATTCGATTTACATTTATAAGTACACTTTATAAAATAATGTTACAATTTATTTCATATCTTCGTTACAATTGTTACAATAATTTAATATGAAATTTACGTCACCTGATATGTCTTACGTGATACAAACAAGTCCTTTTCGGCAATTTAAGGAGGCAACATTTCAATTTGCTAGTTACAAAATTTCGGGCAAGTTCCATACTTTCTTAGAAAATATTTGTATTGAGATGGAATTTTTAATTTAGGTTAAAGAACACTGAACCGAAAATGCATAATATGTAGTGCTTTCTTGACATTTCTGAAGCTTTTTACTAACTGCGTTACAATAACGACTGTACACGTTCTGTTTACATGCGCATAGAAGACAAAGGCCGATTTTCATGACGATAATCACATGATTCAAGGTGTATACATTCCCCACGGCAAAACCTACTCTAGAGTCGGTTCAAGTCGGTTGGGCCCACGGACATAGGAAATATTATGTCTATGTCCACGACACGATACATACTTGGTGAAAACCAGTGAAAACCCTCGAATCCATTGCAGTCAAAAGAAGAATCCGCTGATCACGATGGGTACCTGTGAGTTATGCTTGTATTTTTGTTTATATTTTTCATCCTTACATTTCTTTCTTCACCTAATGTTCACACAATATTATAAAGTTGTACATGAGAATGTAACATTACATATTTATAAAAATGCAATTTTACTAAGAATTTTGCACAGCCACTCCCTGTTCTTATTATTTTCTGTTGAAACTTTTTATTGACGCGATAGTTGTTTAAAATGTTAAATAATATGGTGAAATTATAAACAATACTGTTTCGTATTCAAATTTGTGTACAAATTTTGTGATGTACAATATTGTTTACTACAAATTATTTTTACCCACTTATTTAAAATTTTTAATACTCTAATGTTCATTTTTCATACTATCACATACTTTTTACCATAGTTTATTGTCTAATGTATAGATATGTCTTTTTCCGTTTTTAAAAACTATGCTAATCTACATATATGTATACTAATACATATATACAGTTATAGTAGTAAACTAATACAACAAATCGACTATAACAATTAAGATAATTACATAGGAAAATAAATCAATAAAAATTACTACTATTATTATATAATAAATAATCTCAAGATTCAATTTTTCTATTTGCATACCTATACATTTATATGTATACCATATTCATAAAATCATAAAATATAACTCATTCCTTTCAAATATATTTTATGTAAAATTATTGCTAGATAATGTAATATTTAAAAGTAAGTTATTTACTAATACTAAGTCATATAAATCAATCAATTGAAGGAATTAAGATATTAAAATGTTATTCTAGTCGAATCACTAATATTTTCTTTGTTTTTCTTCTAGCAAAAGGAGTCCTAACAACAGAATTCATACATGAATTACGTGATGCATTTTACGATAATAAACAAAACATTTTGGCACAAAATGTATGTACAAGGACCAATCCCATCGAGGCTTGTATTTCGCGAAAAGTATTGGAACAGACCCAACACGTTTTCACTCATAAAATCGAAATGGAAGGGAAGCCCATGACAAATCAAAAAACTTCTGGGCGATGTTGGTTATTTTCAATTTTAAATGTTATAAGAACTGCCTTCATTAAGCAGTACAATTTGGATGAATTTGAATTTAGTCAAGCTTACCTATTTTTCTGGGATAAGGTTAATGTTATGATATTATCAATATTCAATATACAAAACGTAATTATTGTATGTTTACTAATCCATACATTATTTTGTAGGTCGAACGGTGTAACTATTTTTTACATAATATTGTAAAAAGTGCACAACGACACGAACCAGTAGAAGGCCGCTTAGTATCATTTTTATTACACGATCCTGTTTGTGATGGTGGACAATGGGATATGATTGTTAACCTTATAAATAAACATGGTCTCGTCCCTAAAGTATGTTTTCCAGAATCATACAGTTGCGAATCTAGTTCCCGTATGAACAGTATTTTGAAAAGTAAACTCAGAGAGTACTCTAAAGTATTAAGAGACTTAGTAGCGAATGGAGCATCAGAAGACAAACTGGAATCTGAGATCGCAGACCAAATGCATGTTCTTTATCGAATAATTGGTATTTGTTTGGGTATACCTTCGGAAACGTTCACTTGGGAATATTACGATAAGTCCAAGAATTATAATTGTATGGGACCAATTAAACCTGTGGAATTTTATGAGAAATACGTGAAACCGTATTACGATGTGAATGACAAAATATGTTTAGTAACAGATCCAAGGGAATCTAATCCATGGAGAAAACTTTATACGATAGATTATTTAGGAAATGTTGTGGGTGGAAGATCTACATTATACAATAATCAACCACCTTCAGTATTAATGGAATTATGTGCAGAAAGTATCAAACAAAATGAACCTGTATGGTTTGGATGCGATGTAAACAAAAGATTAATAGGCAAACAAGGTATAGAGGATATGAATGCTTATGATTTCTCTCTGATGTTTGGAACAAACATTCAGGTCAATCTCACAAAAGCAGATAGATTACTTTATGGAGACTCTATGATGGTTCATGCAATGGCATTTACAGCTGTTTCGATTGATGTAAGTTAATAAGATTCTAAGAAATGATTTACGAAAATATGTTGGCAACTTTAAAAAATAAGTAATTTATAATATAATTATGTATTCAAAACCTCTTAATGCAAAATGTACTAAAACTCATTTCATCTCCAGGATGATGGCAAAATTAAGAAGTTTCGAGTGGAAAATTCATGGGGTGATGAACATGGTCAAAAAGGGTATCAATTATTAACCGCTGAATGGTTTAACGAATTCGTTTTCGAAGCAGTTATCGATAAAAAATTAGTACCTGCAGATATTTTGTCTGTATTTGAACAAGAACCCACTGTCTTACCTGCATGGGATCCTATGGGTACTCTTGCTCACTGATAGTAATGTAAGCTTAAACATTTAAATATGAAGTTTTTTGATTAATAAAATGTGTATAAAGCATTCAAGATTGAATGTAAAATAAAATTTTAAGCACACTGGTACAATAAAGTACAACAAATTAAGAGTTTGACATTTTCATAGTTACTCATCAACAATCAAGAAATAATTTTAGGAAGTTAAATTATAAGATATTGAATTATCTCATCTAAAATCCTATTGGATGTAATTAAAGTAATATACATTTCTACAATTAAATAAAATATTAACAATCTACATTTAACATAGTTCCTAAAATTTAAACTTATTGATTGTGTAATCTAATTTTTAATTTATTTTTTAGAAGTAACGTTCGGTTAGAATTTATAAGTCAAGTTTTGTTTTACGTTTTTGGTTACTACCATAGATTTTATTTACATTTGAGTTAACTGCAATATCTGGAATACATATATTGAATTTAATACGTTTTCTCCAACGGTATTTTCTTGGAAATTTTCATTTTTAATGTTATAGGAAAAATAGGTATATTGACTTTTCAGTTATACTCTGTGAATTTAGATACATGTGGAGTCCTATTTTGACATTTAAATAGTTAAAAATTAAAACAAACAATAATTGTATGAAATCAATAAAAATATTTGCAGATGTAAGAGACTTCAATTATCTTTTATTTGACTGTTGGTATGATCTTTCCATTAACATTATTTTTTCAATTATTACAAAAAAACCGTTTTTCTAAAGAATATTTTGTACATTTCATTTATTTTGAATTTAAATACGAATTTTAATTGACATAATTCTAAACTTTATAAGAATGATTTATTTTGACTAATACTAACGAGTTTTATGTCGTTCTTTTTGCAACTTGTAACAATATTTGAGTTTTGCCCATATGCCTTGACACATGTTTTGCAGGCGAACATCATTTTGTTTTAGTGAAAATTTATAAATATTTATTATTAGTTTTTTTGAAACGTCTAAGTCACCCTGTTGAATTAAACTTAAAGCACTATATAATTTACAACGAGCAACCAGAAGAGGATCTCCAAGGCGAAGTGCTAATTGAAACTGCCTTATAGAAATTTTTCCTGCTACTTCAGCCTGCGTAAAAATATATTATTCTTGAATTTATATGGCATAATATATATGTTATTGTATTGTTTTCTTATTATTTTGTATAAAGTGTCTTAATTTATTTCTAAAAGAAGTGCAGTGGAATCAATTTTAAATATACATTAAATATTATCTTACACAATAGTGGAATTCATCTCCTAAAGCAGAAAAAGCTCCACCTAAAGTAGATAACCAAGACATAGCATGATTGATTTCTCTTCTTTCCAATGCCATTTGTGTTATCCTTTCATTCCTGACAGAAAAAAATGATACATTATTAGATGTTACTTTGCGCTGTATAACAAAACAATAATTTAATTTTTACCATTTATAATCTAAGAACTGTTTCTTCGGTGTACGCAATTTCATTAAGATTACATTTAAATTTAATTTATCCGAGTATTTATACATTAAATATTGTAACAATTTATTAAATGCAGCTTTACGATATACTTGCGACCTTATTACTGTTACAACATACACTGATACAAAATAGGCATTATATCCTTTTTTACTTAAACAAATTTTATCTAGTTTGACATTGTTAAATTTATTTGTATTCGCATGCTTTTGATCTGTAATTTCCTTTTCTCTCACTTTTTGTTCGTATCTAATCGCAGAATAAGGTGTAACAATAACACTGTCGAAAATTGTACTACCTCTATGTACAATCAATTTGATCGTGTTATCCATTTTCTTTAATTCGAAAAAATAAGCACTTCTTTGAATGTATTAAAATTTTCCTCCGTTATACATGGAGAAATTCTAACGAAACTATGAAAATAATACATATTATAAATATTTATCACAAATAATATCAACGACAACTACAATATATAGATTCGATCGATATCAGTTAGAAAATGTACATCAAATTATATTAACGAGTTCACAGGCAGTATGTGTTCTGTAAAATAATTAAACCGACATATACATCCAACAGCACCTTCATGCATTTCTGAATATCGTATTTGCTACACAAACTTCTCAGTGCACGATGTTAGGTTAGAAATTTAATTGACTGTACATAACATATATAATACTTATGTATACGGTACAGTACGTAGTACTATATTACGTATCATTAAAAAGCAGGATATTAAAGATAACGTGATAGAATGCAAATCATTCAACGAAATGGATTTTTCTTTTGAAATTTTCGAGTAAAACATTTAGCTGGCAAAATAAAAACGATTCAAACTTGACACACGATACGTGTATGAAATTCAATTGAATTGTATAGAGATATTCATAGTAATATTCAAAGAATGTAATGAACCTTTTTAGAATGTCGAGTATAATCCTTTTAATATTGTGATATTATTGTTGAATTTAACTGAAATGGTTCAAAAATTGTGGTGTTCATAAAAATGATTAAAAATCAATTCATGTATTATATTATAATGTAATCCTTATATTATACAATTAATAATTACATTTATTTGTAACTTGTCTATAACACCTAATGTGTCAGTCTTGCATTTGTTCAGTCTTTGCATTTTAACACTTGTAATTATAATCTAGACACATTTTTCTTTGAAAAATGAAACTCTAAATATTCTTTCGTTTATTTAAATACAGGGTGTCTCAAAAATGTTGTAACACCTTGAAATGGGTGATTCGGGAGGTGATTTGAAACAACTTTTTCCTTAGCGAAAATGTTGTCCGAGACTTCGTTGAGGAGATAATAACGGAAAACACTGACCAATCAGAGAGCGCGCGTATACCGTTGAAGCGGCCGCGGTAGCGAAGGCTACGCGCTGAGCGGTCGCGTCAAGGTCCTTTCGATGCACGTCGAGTCACTTGTTCGCGTACGAACGCGGCCGCTTAGCGCGTAGCCTTCGCTACCGCGGCCGCTTCAATGGTATACGCGCGCTCTCTGATTGGTCAGTGTTTTCCGTTATTATCTCCTCAACGAAGTCTCGGACAACATTTTCGCTAAGGAAAAAGTTGTTTCAAATCACCTCCCGAATCACCCATTTCGAGATGTTGCAACATTTTTGAGACACCCTGTATTTAGTAATGTAGAAAATAGTCCATTTCTAAACAATATGTATACATATACATATTCGTACAAATGATTTTGAATATTTATTAGTTAGTAATAACTTGTTAATCGATTGGTTTGTATATTTTTCTTCGTAATTGTGTTAGTTTCAAAAGAAAATTCAAGTCAACCTTGTATTTTAATTAGCTCTTACACTTTTATATATTACTATTATGTAACTATGTAAAAATCTTCTAAATCTACGTAAATATTTTTAAGATATTCTGGTATCTGAAAATTGTAATTATTTTCGCTAAAGAATATTATATAAATGATTTATTGTTGAAAACGATTCAATTATTCCTTAAAATTGTTACAATTTTCAGGATTACTTAAAAGTGCCCCGAGAATAATGTGTAAGAAATGTTATTTTATAAACATTACTAAAATATTTCATTACTATAACATATGCTTTAAATAAACAAATAATTTTGTACGATATAACGTACGGCAACACGAAACGCGTGTTACGTCACTGTGCGCGTCGCACCACCGCGCAGTTATTGGCATTTCCCAAAATTTCACCGACCAGTCAGATTCAACAATCCGAACACACCTCTGCGGCGAACCAATCAGAACGCCGGTATCTATTGTTGCAGTATAGTAGTTGGGGCAACGTGTGGCAATTGAAATTTAATTTGCCGTTAATATTTACAACGAAATGAAAAATGAATCGTCGCGAAAAATTTGTACGCATTTTAAAGTAGTTTTTGAACACGCATTTCGTGTAAATTTAGTATTTTAAAGAGAATTGTCGCGAGGTAAGCGTTTGACTAGTACGTCGCTGGGTGTCTACGAGTACCCCACCTTACGATTCGGCCTAAGCTTTGACGAGATACCTCTATTGGTATTGGGGTCTCCGACTCGATCGTGGCAGGTTGGATTTACCCCGTTTGTCACTGAGAAAATAGCTTTACTCAAATCTACGTTTTACAGTGGTACATTCACGTATTTTAATTCGTTTGTTTCTCAGTGAACATTGATTGGTAATAGCATTAGACAGGTTGCGATACATTTGATAAGTGCAGCGTCTCGTTGCTGACATTTTTTACATTAGACACGCGACGGTAAGGTATGGCGTTTTTGAGAACGGTGCCGCGTTGCAGTGCCGGTAAAAAGCTAAGGAAGTGTGTGCCACTTCCCATCGGGTTTCTCGAGAACGTAACGAAGCCATCGGTGCAGTTGGTGCAGGTGCACGAACGTGAATACACTGGCGCTGCTGCTAACGTGAAGCCGGTTCCTCGACAGATCGACCCCTTGGATTTGAAGTTTAACGATCCAGTAGCCTCTTTCAAAAGCAAAACTACCAAAGAGCTTCTGCGTGCTTACGTTGTGTATCAACTATGTTCGATCGGGTATATCGCCGAGCACAATATGACGGTAAGCTCCTACTTCATCTGTGCATGTATGTGTCCCATACGATGACGTTACATGTATACGTGAATTATACGTTCTATCCTTGTCATAAATTAGTTACAAGAATTTTTCTGACCCTCGTAATACATTTTCAAAAATGTACAAGTAAGCTCCTATGAGTTCCATGTATCTATGTGTCCTATACGCAATATGGTTATCGTGAATGAATTAATTAGAAGAATTATTATTCGTAGAATTTTTTCCTCGTCTTATATTTTAAAGAAATATGTAAGCAAGCTCTATACTTTATAGGTAACCTCTGACGAGTTCACCTACGCACGTATGTGTCCTATAACGATTACTTGTACGTAATTTATATGTAGTATGCTCGTCATAAATGAATTAGTCGGAAGAATTATTATCAGCAGAATTCTTTTATTTCTCTTAACGCATTTGAAAAATGACGAGACGTTCAAGTATGTTCTCTGGAATTTTACCGTATCCGTGTCCATACGTTTCCGTGCCGGCTGCTACGGCATTCGAGCGCTACGCTAAAAATTTCATTTTCCCCATTAAAATTCAAGTCAACCAATCGTACAGAATTCGTTAACATAATCAGCGAGTGGTATCGTTTTGACAGATTTTTATCGTTGTTTAGTTTCAACTCTGTCAAATTCTCGATTCTGGTTATTTCTCGCGATTTAGTAGTCGGTCTAGAATATCGATTTGTCAAAGATAGTCCTAGGAATTAATTCGTGTCGTATATCTGTTTCGACTGGCGCATGATAAATAAATCTAGGTATCCCGTCCAAGGAAAATGAACGAAATCGTCCCTTATAAAAATTCCTCTTACAATTCCAATTCCATTATCGAAATTGCTTCGAAGTAAATAAGTGTGGTATGCAGATATGAATTACATGCGTATAGTTTCAACAGTTCCTGCAGCGGGCATTCTAGTAATTTTTCAATTTAAGTGTACCGCAATAGAGAATATAGTACAATGGAAATGTAGGTTTGTTAGGATTAGATTGATAAGATTTGCGTTACTTTGTTCCAATGGAACGAAGCCGGCCGTAGTTTCTTGTTAATTACAGGATATACGATACGCATGTATATGTATAGACGACAGGAAAGAAAAAACCGTCTGGGATTGAAAGCATCGTTGACGGTATGTAATGAATGCGAAGCGCTTCGGTTGAAAATCCCGACGACAGAAAATGGTTCGTTAACCGGATTTCACGGGGACTGTAATTTTTTATTAATTGTAGGTAGGACAGTGACCTTTTATTAAGAGCGTCGTTATTCGCACGCGTTTTCTATGTACGACGACGTGGCATGGCGCGTTATTGATTTTAGTAATGCTTAATATGTACATTGAATCGACCTGGCAATTTTGCCACAAACTTGTACCACCGACCAATTACGTAACTTCCTAGGAACGATCTGTACGAGCACGTAATCGTTAAAATCCGCGTGGCTCGTACGCTTTCCTGTGTATCAATTTTTCATTTGTATTTTTCTTACTATTTTATACTTGCTCGACGAGATTACGCGTGGTAGCAGTTGATATACAATCGATTTTCGCGATCGACCATTCTTTTACATGAATTTCACGAATTCTATCCACACTTCGTGTTTCTAAATATTTATCGGCCTAATGTTAATTAATAATTATGTGTATAACTTTGCTATGTAACTTGAAATTGAACACGATTAATAACAAAATTCTCACTTTCATTCAATTAATATACGTCGTCAAATGATTTAATATACGTGGATTAATTTGGTTTCTCGCTTATTATCCTTTTCGTACTTTGTATTATAAATATATTTTGTATAATACAATGTACTTTGTCTAATAAATTAAGATTTTGATCGTTAGCAGTTTATATCGAATTGGTCTCGTCCATATTCATGACACGTTGATCCTCGCCTTTGATACGTGTACATATGTTATATCATAGATTTCAATTTACATCGAGTATGCGATCTCGCGTCGACACTTGCTCGATCACAGTTTATGCAAAATGAAGTGTTTCCAAAGGTTACCTGCAAAAATTGAGCCTAACTTTTTATTTTACTCTTCAAATATTATATTAATATATTTATATTAACAATATCAACTTTAATTTCCTTTCCTACGGTTCATTTAAATATTAACAAATACTTTTCAAACTTTACTTGACCTACAATCGAATTAAAGTTAGCAAATCAAACGAACTTTTGAACTACGTTCGAAACGTCCTATCCTAGGCCACCGTAACCATTTTCTAATGAACGATCGATAGGAAACGATCGAAACGATCATCGTCGTGTTCCATCGTTTAAAAATTCGTCGAATGCAGTCGACGAGCGTGGCGACTAAAGGCGAGAGACTGCGAAACGCGGTCGCACTCCAAAAATCAATAATAATCAATACGGCTGTGAGACGTTCTAGGTAGGAAGAGTGAATCACCGGATTCTATTTACGTGCTCGACAAAAAAGGTGGCTACAATTAGTCGGCGGGACGAAAATCTTCGTTAAATGTAACAATATCCACAATGATCGCGACAATTAGGTAAATGGACGCTTGGTAGCTAAACCTCGTATGGTAAACGAAACGTTCGGATTTGTAACTCTATTTTTACGCATATGTTTGCATCGTTGCGCAGAGTTACATTTATTAGATTCTCCCAAAAGTTTCTTTCGTTTTATTAGTAAGCAATACGTAGGTAATATTTTATGTTTTATGTTACGTTACTGAGTTTTCTACGATCTAGGATTTTGCTCAACTCTGGTTACAGTTGCTCGTAACGATATTTGTTACAGTACGGGCTTAGCAACCCCGAGGTACCAGAGCTAGAAAATACTTCTCGTTTTAATATTGCAAACAGTATTAAAACAATGGAGGAAACGTGTAAGACGATGATAAGAGGAATGGAAATAAGCTATCTAGTAATAAGTATAAGATATTTGTTAGGTTGGCCAAAAAGTTGGTTCGGTTTACTATCTTCATTTCGATTGTCTAGCGTTTAAAGTCACTTACAGGTGTAGTTCACCTTAGACTTTTGTGAAGCTGACAATGCAACGAAATAAAAATCTAGATCATTGATGACGTTGAAACATTGAAAGTAAAATTCATGTTATTCATACAAGTATACTAATGTAAATTTGTGTAATTACCTTTGTAAAGATTTTATTTTGCATAAAGATCCGCAATCTACTGATGATAAATTATACATGACGGAATGTGGATCTTAATCAATTTTTGTAATTTATCAGAAACCTCGTTCGAATAATCGATATACGTGATTAATGTATTACTCAGAGATCAATTACCAGAACACTTGAAACGGTTGACTGATACGGGACAAATCGATCAGATATAAAAGTGAAATACAGGGTGTCCCAAAAATGTTGGAGATCCTTGAAAGGGGTGGTTCGGGAGGTGATTTGAAACAACTTTTTCCTTTACAAAAATGTCGGATGGGGCTTCGTTAAGTAGATATTAATAAAAACAAACCGACCAATCAGAGCGCGCGGATACCGTTGGAGCGGCCGCGGTAGCGAACGAGAGCGGCTACCTAGCGTGTGTAGCCACGCCTACCGCGGCCGCTCCAACGGTATCCACGCGCTCTGATTGGTCAGTGTTTTCCGTTAATATCTCCTCAACGTAGCCTCGGGCAACAATTTCGCTAAGGAAAAAGTTGTTTCAAATCACCTCCTGAACCACCCTTTTCAAGGGCCTCCAACATTTTTGGGACATCCTGTATATCGATAATTATTTGGTATCTCAAACGGAATTCTTTAATCCGGGAAAATCCAGAATGTTAACCTGACGTAACACTTTCTGGTAGATTTATTACATCTCGAGAAATATCCAATGTAAAATTTACTATACATTACATTGTTTCAATTTTAATTTAAAAACACGATTTCGATGTTCCATTTGTTTTAACGAATTGTGATTGTTTTCGTACACGCTACCCCCTTGCTAAATTTCTAGTTACGTCACTGTTCTGGTCATCTTATACTCCTGCACTCAATAGCATCTCTTACCTCGTTTTAGCCTAAATCTCGCTATTCTACTCTACCTGCTCTCTCCCATCCTTCAAATACTGTGACACCTTTCTCTCTTCATCACCTTACACCACTTATTGAACCTAGCCTGGCCTTGTTCCACCTCACCTTTTCCTCTTTCAGCTGCTCTCTATCTATTCTACCTATTTCTTCTTATTTTACCCTCGCCATCCCTTCAGCTACAGTAAAATCAATTTCGTCCATTTCGCTAACATTACAAAGAGACGTTTACCTACGTATAAAAATAAAAGGATCGCTCTATTTTTAAACCATTTTTCTTTCTTTTCTTCAGGAATTTTTTTCCTCGCAAATAATAAAAGCTAGCCCTCTGTGCTATTTGACGAAATATGCTTGATCTCGACCGAGGAAGCGATAAATAATTTTTATAGACAAGTTGAATTATAAGTTCGCAAGTATTTCGCTAATGCAAAATGGAGGTCACCGTTGACCGACATAACAGTTTTCGTGCTAATCTAAATTTTGTTCCCAATTGTCTCCGGGGTAAGGGAGAAAAAATGGCAACTGGCCAACTGTAGAACAATGGGTAGATCGATAAGAACGTTTACTACTTTAATATCTTGCTCCAAGAGCGACGACTTTTAAGTTTTACGTAATTAAATCATTCATCGTTCGAGAACGTATGATCTCAGTAAACGAACAAGACACTTGAGAAAATATTCGAAGACAGTCGCGCAACCTAACATTCCAAAAGGTCGCATGATTACCCATCAGTGACCTAAACGAAGTCCCAAAGGAGACACGTGCTTCCGTAGCAGATAAGAAACTTGTCGTTTCATAGCTCTTGATAGTGCCAAATTACATGTGTCTTTGATAACACGTGGAGCAATATGGACTGATAGGCCTCTTCACTTGTAATCTGCAGATATCTCTCATTTTCAATCGTCTTAAGTATAGCTCTGCGAAAACTGTTCGATGAGGAAATGGTTAAGCTTCGAAGGTTTAG